CAACCGCCGAAACTTGCTGAATGATAACTTTCACCGTGATTAATAAGCGTCGAGTCTGATAAGAAAGCAATGACACGATTTGACCTTTATGATGAAATACTAGTAGTGATGTCATTCTTAGCCAATCAATAAAGCAGATGCATAAAGGTCAAAGATGATTGCTAGACTGTAAACAAAAGCATCTTGTGCCATCGCAGCAGATCGACCCCATTTTTCTTGTCTATTTATTATGATTATCATGAATGAAATGTGCCAAGCTGACAGACTGTGAAATCCGTGGATTAAAAGTGCTAAGTCAAAATTGTGTGGGACGATATCGACGAACTCCAGGAATAAGTTGTAGGGATTTTGTTCGACGGCTACAGTGACGCTGACTTCGACATTTGAGGGTTTTGAGTTTGACGAAGATGGCAATGAACGTACAAATAAAGATCTGAGAACTTTTTTCAAACAGCTACGAATTTTTATAATTTTTACTGCGTAAATTTGTAAATTATTATTGATCTTGTATGACGGTTGATTCGTAATTTGTCAAGACCGGAAATCATTTTACGCAGTTTAACCCCTGACATTTTAATTCATTTTGAGTTCACGCCTATTGGGCGTGTTTGTCGGCGGGAAAATACTAATTCAAATGATTCCTCACTGTCGATTTTTATTATTTCTGGTTTATTTGTCACATGATAAACAATACATTATTTTTGTTTTACTTCTAGTGTTGCATATTGTTCATTTATTTCCGTTGCATGTTTTCATTTGCCGTTCTATTCCCTGCCGCAGTTCGATCTGCGTGTTGTCAATTTTCGCGAATTTTCGTTTTTTTTGCTGGGGATCTCCTGGCAAACGCTCACCCCTTCTTTTTGGCAATTTTCCATGTTCAGGACCTTGGGCTTATACCCGGATAAATACGGTATTTTAATTTTAAATTTTAATTTTGGCCCATGCATTATATCCGGAATTGAAAATGAAATCATTTTACGCAGTTTAACCCCTGACATTTTAATTCATTTTGAGTTCACGCCTATTGGGCGTGTTTGTCGGCGGGAAAATACTAATTCAAATGATTCCTCACTGTCGATTTTTATTATTTCTGGTTTATTTGTCACATGATAAACAATACATTATTTTTGTTTTACTTCTAGTGTTGCATATTGTTCATTTATTTCCGTTGCATGTTTTCATTTGCCGTTCTATTCCCTGCCGCAGTTCGATCTGCGTGTTGTCAATTTTCGCGAATTTTCGTTTTTTTTGCTGGGGATCTCCTGGCAAACGCTCACCCCTTCTTTTTGGCAATTTTCCATGTTCAGGACCTTGGGCTTATACCCGGATAAATACGGTATTTTAATTTTAAATTTTAATTTTGGCCCATGCATTATATCCGGAATTGAAAATGAAATTATAATACATAAAAATATTTCCCATAAATTTTGGCAGCAAAAAAAATAGTGATCCAGTAATTCAACAGACTGATGATAATTATGGCTGAGTTTATAGGTGGTACACATTTCTATTGCAAATTTGGTACATTGTATACAACAGCAAGCTAGGGAGTAAAAGCAGTAGGATAAATACACCTTAGCTTGGATGCCAGTCATCACTAAGATTTTGAAGAGGAAAGCAAAGATATTTACCTCAGTGGTTTATAGGCTAAAGAGGGCAGCCCATGGATTACATGAAGCAGAGATAAACAACTGGTAAGCTAGGGAGTGCAGACTCAAGAATTATCATGCAAAGTCAAGATAAGGTAAGCTAAGGAGTGCAAACATTTGTGTTTTTCCAAGCAAGAACTTTGTTGAACTAGGGAGTAAAAGCCATGCAAATTTCACTTGAATTTTTTATAAGCAATTCAGAAATTTGCTAGGTTTAAAACATGTATAATGGAAGACACAGACCTAATTTAATACAGCCATACAGGCAATGGCAAGTGACAAACATGGAGGTTTTTTAGAAAAGCACAGAAAGTATAACATAAGGCAAACCAGAATTGCAAGTCTGCTTACCATAGTGATAATATTGTTTTTCTCATTCATCTCTGATTTATGAGTCAGTCTCATCTGCTCCATTTCCATTTCTAACATCGTCTTTTCTTTCTCCAGATCAGCATACTGTCCTTCGGCAATGGACCTCGCGAGTTGCTCTGAATCGGCTTTGGTTAGAGTCAGTTCCAGTTGCGCCATCAGAGAATCCCTGTAAACAGATGAAAAACAACACAATTTTAAGTGAAATTTCATCAATATCTTAAAAAAAAAAATATGCTTACAACAAAACATCAAAAACGAACTTGGATGATATACCAATATCGCAATTTAATAAAAAAGTTTGTAAAATAAAAACTGTTAATTGTAACCACAAGTAATAGTTTGTGCAAGAGAAGACAATAGTGACTATGAGCACAGCACTTTTCCACTCGTCTATGATATTGGCAAGGTAACAAAAGCAATCAAGTATGCAAGTGACTGAAATTGAATTACTCAAAATAAATCAAAGTAGTTATAGAGCATAATCATTAGCTGGCTTCGTCTGTATGCTAAATTTTAATTTCAACAACAGAATTTAATGTTTTCTTCACAAACCAGTAAATTTAAAACATAGTAAATATCACTGCAATATCAATCCTAGAACCAACCCTGTGACTATTTCTTGTACAGTATTGAATATTGAGTGATTTAAATACTGCCGATACCAACGGGTGTCTTACCACGAATGAAGCCAACAACAGTTCTTGTTTCGTGTCACAACGTTTCATGCACAACAACAAAATACGCTTAATTTTGGACATGGTTTTATAGCCATCAGGAACAGAGCAAGATTAATATTCAGAACAGATTAATATTCAGAACAGATTAATATTCAGAACAGATTAATATTCAGAACAGATTAATATTCAGAACAGATTAATATTCAGAGCAAGATTAATATTCAGAACAGATTAATATTCAGAACAGATTAATATTCAGAGCAAGATTAATATTCAGAACAGATTAATATTCACATATGAAATGAAGCTGTACTGGAGGAAACAAAACACAAACCTTGCATTTTGAAGCTTGTTCACAGTATCTTGTACATCTTGCGTCTGATTCGCTCTTTCATCGACTTCCTCTTTGAGTTCGCGAACTTGTGTTTTATATAATGTCTATAGAGGTAAAGAAACAAAAAAAAAACAGTTTTTGTAAAAATGTTGGATAAACTTCTGAATTACAAAAAAACATTATCCAACCCATAATGCACTGCAGTCAGTAAGTGTAATTCTTTCATAAATTATATCGAAATGTGAAACTAGACCATTTTTCATTCACTGTGAGATTCCACGTTATCCATGAAATCAAACATAACAAGCAGCCTCTCGGCTGAGATAGCTCCGCTGTTATTCATACTGTTGTATCATCACGAAATGAACAAATCTGAGAGACGTTTACCTGTAGTACCTATATATGTGATATCCAAAAAATCAGACTTGTGGTTTTTAACAAGAAGTCAAAAATATCACTTTTTACCAAAAATGACAAAAATATTCATCAAAATTAGAGAATTGAAGATATCATCATGAAATGAACAAATCTAAGAGAGGTCTACCCAGGGTACATATACACTAAATATCAAAGCATTCAGGCTTTGAAAAAGTAAAACATTGACACGAACGAAGACGACCAATCACTCATATGATAAGCTCCGCTCGACAAAGTCGACAGCGGAGCTAAAAACTAAACAAACAAAGGTCATAGTGATGTCAAAGCATCTTGTATCGGTTAGTCAAATGGGAAAATACCTTATGGGTATTTCAGGGCTTAATACATTGTTATGTTATTTTATAAGGGTCAAATTCAAATTCAAGTAAGTATCTCAAAACAATATTTCAAAATTCATTTTCAAAATCAAATCCTCTTTCTGAGCGTGCCCAGCTTGACTGAAGTTGGGCCACTCAAGACCAAGACCAAAATTTGGAGCACATAATGTGACTTAGCTCTAATAAAAATATCTTTAATACATCTGTCATTATAAAACCTTCTACATCAATGCAAAGCCGTACATTCAATCACTGGTAAAAAAGTACTCACTGAGAAATACTGCTCAGCCTCAAACTGATCCTGTAGCTCTTTCATCTGAAGTTCATTCAAAGCCAAATTACTGAAAAAAAGGAAAGAATTAATAAACTTACATCATAATGGTGATGGAGTCCTTTACAAGATTTGTTTTAATACATAAAGCGACAATAGCTGTAACTATCGATTTATTTTTTATTTTTAATAAAATGTGTTATTAGTGCAGGCATCACTAAAATGTGAATACTGAAAGCATAGCATATACGCTATATCTTGATGTTGTACAATAAATCAGAACTGCCATGTGACAACATCAAAACTGTGGTGTCGCTGGGTAGTTTTTACAGCTCGAGCTCACAGTTTAGGAGAAAGATAGCTATACATACATGTAAATGAAGAAAACATCAGGTAGAAAGTTGTTTAGATAATTTTCCCAAACATAAAATGCAAGTGAGTGTGTTTTTTAAATAAATTTCACCCAAATTTTGCTTGCATAGCAAAATACACCATTTGGATTGCATTCTCGTACAAAACTTTCTTGCGGCATTTTTTGACAGGTGCAATTTTGCATTCGGTAAAGTGCGCCACAAGTTTTGTTTTCTGTTTCAGAGGATGAGTCAGTTCTCAGTTTTTACTCAGAAAAATTGGCTATTTTTGTCCCAATCTTCTGAAAGAAAGTGCAGACAGGACTGTTTTGTGAATATGTGATGAAAAGAGAGAACTAGCGATGGAAAGGTTAAAATGTTGAAAAACTTATTATTATAACTTACTGTTTGATTTTCTCGACTTTTTCATCTTGGCTCTTCAGTAACTCTTTCAATTCAGTTTGTTCCTTCTTGTACTGTTTCTCAGATAACCTAAGTTTGGCAACTTCTTGTGATACACTCTTGTAGTCATTAGTTATTAAAGTCCTTCTCTGCGCCTCTTGTTCCAGCTGTAAAGTCAACTGCTTCACCTGAAATTTTAAAAAATGTGTTAGGTATTAAGTTTATTTCCCTTCAGAATAGTAGTAGAACACCAGTACACGAGTTAGCTCACTCCTGACAATATTGTTTTGTATTCAAAAAATAGTTGCAGACACTCACAGTATTGATAAAAGATTTGCAGTCCACAACATGCGATAACAGTTCAACTCGAATTTGTATATTTATTATCATTTAAATTTAAAATTGCATTCGCTGGTTCTACATGGTATGCGTTAACGTTGAAACTTTTTTAAAGCATGGTGGACGTTGCGCAGCGGGTGTTCGAATTTCATGTAAATAAACAATGTTTTTTACATGCGTTGTATACGTCGCTATGAGTCCCATAGCGAACAGGATGCTGCACGACGACTGCCACCCTTTAAATTTATGTATGCCATGCAGTGAATGAGGTACAGTGAAATAAAGATTTGAATAATTAGTAAACAAGAAAAAAAGACACACATATATGCCTCAGTGACATCCAACAAACATTCTCCACAAATGCAATGTATGGATCGTACCTTTTCTTCGCTAGTTTTCCTTTGTTCATCCACCCTCTGTAACTGTTGTTCCGCTTGCCTTAGTTCCACCTGTAATATCGATCTCTGTCTTGCATCCTCTGCCCATTTACTCTCCGCTTGCTGTCTAGCCATGGTTTCTTCGGTCAATTTTAATTTCATATCTGATTGGTAGTGTGAAATATTGTCTCATTAGCATATATATATACAATCAACATTATTTTCTTAGCTCCTTATTTGCAAAAGTTATATTCTATTTGGAAATAAATTTCTCATTTGCAAAAATGAGTCCTCTATTTGGATTTCAGTGACAATTTCAGGTGTTCAGCCAGCTTTTCCATTCAACAAAAATCACTACTAAAAGCCATATAAGAGTTGAATCATGTTACTACAAAACAGGTGATAAGCCTTTGCGAAACGACCATCACATAACAAATGCATCATGGGTAAAACTTACCTGCTACTAGTTCTAGATTATGCTCCTCTTTCGTTCTGTCAAATCGCCGCCGCTCAGCGCTGATACTGGCTAACTGTGCTTTGTGCTCTAAGACTGCTTGATCGTAGCGATGCTGAAAAGACTTCAACTCAAACTCTGTATTAGCTTTAGCCTAAAACAAAAAAATAACAATAGTCAGACATTTTATATATTCCTTTCATCACCGTTATGTTTTTATATATTGGTGAAAGGGACAGTACTGGATACTGTACCTCACTATCCTCGGGGCCGGAGCTACGTCACAAGACGTTCCACGTTGCCAAGATGCACACCACTGTACCACGTATTTCTGTGGGCACTGTCCGCGCTGCTGTGGAACGCCGAACGAAAAGCCGGTGAATATTCGAGAAAACAACAGGAACTCAACTTTGAAGTACTCCCAAACAACCAAATTTATATGCGTTACACACACGGGGGTAATCTTGTTACACTGTTCAGGACAGTCTCAACAACCATCCCAAAGTACCGTTTTGTGAGAATTTTTGGCCTTTGTTTTCACCGTGATGGTTGCCATGCGGTGAAAATGCCCGGATGTCCACCCCCCGAGAATAGCTACTTCTGATTCAGCAGTGAAGTGTTAACTGTACAGATAGTGAGTTTTGCCTCTACATTTGGAATAATGGTTGAACATAAGCATCTGCATTGACTCCTGAATGAATCTTGCCCCACGGTAATTCCATGAATGTCGGCGAATGAATATTTGATTCAATCAACACTGGCTCACAGTCTATTGTGATAACATTGCCCATAAGTTTTTTATGGAGTCACACATGAATATTTAATAACAGAAACAACAAACACCTTTATTTTATCTTCTGGTGCCAATAATCGGTTCTTGCTAACCAGTCACTGTGCATACATATGCACGCAAAACAGAAACAAGTGTGACAGCCCATAGAGGCTCATAACTGGTAATGACATGACATGAAATACAAGAAAACTTATCTTACCTTTTCTAATACCAGAATATTCTCTTGATGTTTTTGTAAATCTGATGATAGTTTGGCTTCTTTTTGTTTCATTGACAACATTTCCACCTGTAAAGCTTTGTTACGTGCTGAAAACAACAAATCGTGTCACAATGAAAGTATTCTATCGGTGGTGATTTCTCTACTGCCATCGGTGTCAGAAATCAGAAAATCTGACAATGATATGGTAATCTTGATGGAATTTGTAATTTGGTAAAATTAAATTCACATTTTCAAAACAAAATAAGTGTAAAAACATAAGTATTCTGGTGCCACATCAGTTAGTTTGTGCTGTCAGAAGCTCTCAACAGCCACACAGATTTAATTTTAGTTTCTTGAATATCTCTCACTCGCTCCTCAGCAGTCATCATGCAGACTTAACTTGATTTTTTTTATTTCAACTCAAAATTCAAACAAGTTAAATTCTATAAGTTGGCAGACTGGTTGTCACAATCACATTCATTCTGGTGGTGAAAAGGTTCATACACAATCCTATGAATTTACATTTTGATGATTGTAACTTTTGACATCCACCAAATAATCACGTACCGGTACATTGTAAAAACCAGTATTCTCAACCTTCAAACACATAGCAACAGTATTGTGTATAAACTGTGAACAGATCTTGTGAGTTAAAATCAATGATTTCAATATTTAGATTCACTTATGGAGGAAGAAAGAGAGTATGTCAAAGGAATTGACACTTCCAAACTAAGCCACAAAATAAAGTGCTAATGTGAATCCTAATCTTAAAGAAAATCTTACCTTCCAGCTCACTGAGTAAGTCCTGGGTGGATTGGGTCGCACCTTTCTCTGTATCTAGCGATGACTGCACTGTGATGAGTTCCCTTTCCAAGGAAAGCTTGGCCTCTATAACTTGTTTATATTTCTCTTGTAAGTCATTATGTGCATGCTCCACCATGGAAAAATTCTGAAAGCAGAGAAAAAGTTGCATATTATAGCGACCTGTCATAAATAACGTAACAAATTATTTAAATTTTCTTAACATTTTTTTCTTCATATATTCCTGAAAGTTTATTTTGTGAAATTATTCAGTGAGTTGATCACTGCACTTTTATACATACCCTTCCTTGTTGCTATGACGTACACGGTAGCCAAGCAACTACCAAACCCAAACTCATAATATTACCTTCTGTACTTCACTATTATTCTTCTTTAGTCTATGATTTGCTTCTGTTTCAATCCTCAACTGTTTTTCTAACTCTGTGTTGCGTCTTTCGATAAGATTTAATCTATCGGTGACGTGATGAGAATTGGTTGTTTGTCTCTCCTCCTCTTTCCTGTAGCTCTCTATCTTTTTCTGTAAATCCATCTTTTCTGTCTCCATCCGGTGTTTGATGTCTGCTTCGTGTTCAAGTCTCCTTTTCGTCTGAAACAAAAAAAGATATAACGACATGAACAATGGCAAAAATTTATAAAAGACAAATCTTCTGTAATCTGCATCATAAAGTGCAGCTCTGCAATCATAGTGCATCCTGGGAAATGTAAAATGAATATAACCAATCACGATGCAGATAAATCCCATTATACCATGGAGTGTAATTTGCATACTGAAATGTGGTTTTCATCTTTCCTTTTGTAAAAGTACATGGCACTGATGGGATGAAGATTAAGCAAAGACGAGGTTGACGCACTTTCGACATACAAATGCTCAGTTTAGTTGAAGCATTTATATAAGACATGAATTTGCTGTTATGTCATGTTACAAGTCATGTGACTTTTTTCAATGTGATGTAACTTCCTGTTGTGTCATGTGACTTACTTCTTTCAGGTCATACTGTAGACTTCTTATGACACGTTCCCGCTCTTTATAACTATTATCTAACTGCCTTCTTGCATCAGACTGAGGACAAAGAGAAAGAACAACCTGTTACATCAACTTGATACAAGCAGTCATTTATCTCTTGTGAAATTAAAAGTATTTTCTTGATGTTGCTACATTATCGACCTTGAATTTAAAAATATTTTAGCTGAGTTCTTGTCAAATTATTTTTTTTAATGGGGCAATTTTTTTTTTGGCTAAAATATTTGACAAGACACAAACCGTACAGGTTTCTACAATTTGTCGGCAGAGGGCGCTGTGCAATGGTGAAATAAATGGGGATAAATGATCTGCCAGCAATTTTGTCGGTTGTGTGAACTTTTTAGGCGTCACGAAAATTGAATATTGTGTTTTCTTCATTAGTGGCTCACATGAACCAGACATTGTATTTCGTATAAAACAGATCACATGCACTGTTTGTCATATTGAACTTTAACCCGACTCACCTCATCATCTAACTCTCTAGCTATTTTCTCTAGTCGTCTAGTGGCTGTCTCGTATCTCAATTCAATGTCTTCTTTGGCTGTCTTCTCCATGTCCAGCTGGGACTCCATCTCTTTCATCCTCCGCTCCAACTCAGCTGGTACCTAATGACAAGCATAAAGGTTGTTACCCTCTGGAATTTAATACAAATATTAATGTTAACACTAATCTCTTTACGAAAAATACTTCACATCGCGTAGTGATTTTGTAATATGTAGCCCATCTTCGATCATCAAACAGAAAATCTAGCGGGCAAATTGGTAACTTGATGGCACCCTAAGATACTGAAAACTCAATCACAACAAAATTTACAATTTTGCTTGGTGAAATTTGGTTATCGGCGAGGCCAATATCTTACGAATACCACAGCCGTAGCATTTATTACAGCACAAAAATTACTGAATATGTCAATATCTTAAACTGAAATTTTGCGACAATCATTGTCGCAATATTCCTAGTTTAAAGGGCGG